CACAGCATGGCCGCCTAGTAACTGCCCCGACCACTGCCGCTCGACCTGACCGGAAAAAACCGTAGCAGGAAGCTAGCGAAGTCGTAGCATATATCGTCACAAACAGAACTGCCCGGTAAACCGTAGGCAGAGAGAAAGAAGAGGACAACAAACGAGGGGCTGTGACAAACTGTTTTGTCGGAGTTTCACCGACTCATCAGGAGGGTATACATATATATATATATATATCGTCAAATAGAACTGTATATATATCGTCAAATAGATATACATATATATATATATATATTATATATATTATATATATATAATAATGAATAATAAAAAATATAAGTGACAAGCAACGTACCTTGCCGACAATCAATTTCTTCCAATCGAATTCCGGCTTCTCCAGTTTCCACCCATAGCCTTCAGCATCCTATTCGTCGGAAATCGTCCAGGAAAAGACAAAAACAATGGTCATAATTAGAGAAATTAAATTTACAATTAAAAAAAAAAATGATAAACTAATGACGACAAGCAAGTTGCAGAAACAATCAGCGAGTACTCACACCCGGACTTTTTCGACTGAGATCTGGACGTAGATGCGACGAACCCCGGCTGCAATTGGAGTTACGTAGTGTATGTCCTCATTCTCCTGATTGACATCAGCGCCAGCCAGCCCAGAAAGAGGGAGAATAAAGGGCTTGCTGCGTTTCTCCGCTTTTTGAATGCATCTGGAGCTGCCGGCTGCCCTGACACATTCATAATTCTGGCTTTTGGTGTCGCGCGGCAAGCCCTTGGGATCAGTGACACATGCAGAGGACCACCTACCATCCTACGCACATCACAGAACAGAGACTTCCCACCGAAGCTTGGACAAAGCCCAGATGATCTAAGCCGACCTGTTGCAAACTTGCTAAGCAGCACTCAGACCTCTCTCTCCCTCTCTCCTGTCTCTTATACACATCTAGATGTGTATAAGAGACAGCTTTTAACGGAGAGCAACAAAATGTGACAGGAGGTCTGTGGGGGTACGATCGCAAATCGGGAGGTCTCGGAAGGTCCGGAGCGTAGTAGGTACAA